ATATAAAATTTTATTAAAATACTTTTTTAAACAAAACTTTAAGTTAGTCTCATTTTTATTTTCCACCACTGTATTTAATCCATGGCATGACGTTTATTTTCAATTAAAATTATATGAAATGAAAGATTCATCCTATCATCTTTTAAAGTGTGCCGTTTTAATAGATAATTAATTGCTGTTGTTAATAAATTTAATTAAAAATAATTGTATAAAAAACTTTAATGATTTTATGTAAATGTTTTAAACAACAATTTCTGTTAGTGTTTTAATAATCAAATATTCTTTAAATTAATTTTACTAATAAATTATTGTTTTTTTAGTTTAAAAGATATTTTATTTATTCTTAAAGTAAATTTTTATTAATAATACAGTGTACATTGCATTATTAATAAAGACAAACTTTCAAATTTAATAAAAAATTCGAATAAAATCCATATTTAACCGCGTGGAAAAAAAAGACATTAAAGAAACAAACAAATCAATGAAAAATATATATATATATATAAATAATTTCAAAGAAACTTATAAACAATGAATCATTGGTATACTAGGATGTTAAAACCGCTATTGCTTGTTCATTCTAAAAACTTAATTAGTTTCTCCGCAACAATAGCGATTTAGAAGATATATGAATTGTGTATCTTATCAATAAGATAAAGAAAAAAGATTATAGTCTCAAATATAGATGAAGTTGTAGTTGACAGCTTCAACAATAAGTATATTAATACAATAAATACATTTTTATTTAAACCGAGTCACTATTATCAAGTTTCAATGTACTCCTGTGTAACATACTATAAATTTGTTAAAAATGGTTTAACAGCCAAATTCAATTAGAGATAGAGTCAGATGTGAACGTATGAAAAAAGATATTATGAAATAATTGATTTTTTCAAATGCAGTGTTTAAAACATGTTATGTAAAACCCACTTCGGTTCAAAGATGATGGTATGTTTGTTAAAATAGATGAAATTCTATTTAGACATAAACAAAATATCATCATGGTGAACAACCAAGAAGAGAAACCTAAATATTTGATTTAACAAATGTATCGTTTACTCAGGCTAAAATCTCGTTGTATATCGTACCTAATAGAATTATTTGTACGCTTTTACTGATAATTAAAAGTGGTTATAAAGAAGGGATTATAAAACATTTTGATGAATAGCGTATTTATGCACGTATTAGCAATAGTAGTTTGTGATTATCACGTTTCACTGTTATTCATGTTGAAACTTCTATAAATTTTACTACTAGTGTTCATACTCTGAACATTAAAATTATGTGGAATAAGTGCAGATATATTCTTTATTTATTACTCGAAAAATTTTGTAGAAAAATAATGCAAGATTGTGTAAAAAAATTAATGATTTATTAATTTTATTGAAATTATAATAAATTCAGTTTTATTTTCTAAAAAATAGAACTTGTTCCTAAAAATCTTTAACATTAATATTGTTTTTTATATTTTAATTTTAATTATACATTTATAAACCATTTAAATTATAAAATTTAATATTATAAAAATATAACTTTAATTAAAATAATCTTCTTTTCTTGAAACCCGAGATTTTATTGTATTTAAAATGAGTTGTTAACAGAATGCTTTTAAATAAAAGAATTTATAAAAATATTTAAAAATTCTAAAGTAAAAATTTTTAGTTTTATGAGGTAAAAAACATATTTAAATAAAAATATTTAAATAAAATCATTAAGAATTTTTTAATCAACCAAATCTATTGTAAAAACAATCGTTTATAATACAATCTTGTTTGTAATAAAATAACATATGTTTATATAATTTTCTATTTGTTCAAATTAATTTTCAATATTTCTTTTGATAATAAATAAAAAATAACTTCACTTTTAGATAGTTCAATATTAATAAACTTTTTTTTGAAATTTCAAGATATTTTGGATCATTTAAAATCTTAATTTGACAAGATATGTAATTTAAAAATCATTATCTTCATTTTAAACATCTTTTTAATACACTAACAGTTAATGAAAAAATTATTTTTAAACTTTTTTCCTTCTTATAAATTATTCATACGTCTATTATTGTTTAAAACTAAATACTTTTCTAAAATACTAAATTTTTTATAATTTTTATTAAAATCATTCGAGTGATTTAATTTTTTATTTAAAATAATTTTAATCAGATTATATAAAAGTGTAAATTAAATAAAAAGTTGTTTCAAATAAAAGGTTTAAATTATTATGTTGTTGACACTAAACTTTTATTTAAGTTAATTTTAAAGTTGATGAAATTATCTGAATATCATTATAATTTTAAAAAATTTCTTTAAATTAAATCTTTAAAGAAAACATTTTAAGCTTGATTTTTGTTGCATAACTACAACTATTTTTTATATATTAGGATACTTATTTTAGTACTATCATATTTTTAATAATAAGTAAATTATTAATATCATCACGTAACTAATATTTCAGATTACGTAATATTATAGTATTTAAGAAAATTTATTAAATAAACCCATCTTATGTTTAATTATTTTAATCATTCACCAGAATGTGTCAATTTTATATTATTTTAAAAGATCATTTTAAATAAAATTACTAATAAGATAAACAAATTTGATTTTAATTATAATTACTTTAAAATACATTAACTTTTACATTTATTTATTTAACATTAAAAGTTTTTTTGTTATTTATTATTATATTTTAAAACTTTATTAAAAGTTGATTTTTTTACTTAAAATTTTAATATTTACTTTCTAAAATTATAATTATTAATATAAAATATTTAAAAATTAACATTTTAATATGTCTGTTATTATTTTTTAATTCATTAAAATATGTTTTCATTACTAATTATTCTGTTAAATTATATAATTTGATTTAAAATTAAAACTCCTTATTTTTATTGAATAAAAATATTTTTAATTCTTATGGTTTTTAATAAAAAACGATTGTATTTAAAGATTAAACATAGTTAAAGTGTTTTAATACTTTTATATCATTTAAATTATTAAAGTTTTTAATAATTAATAATTGTAAGTATAAAAACTATCTATCTGTGAATTGTTTTTATTATAGATTAAGTTAATAAAAATTTATCAAAGAAACTTTTTAACAACCAATTAGAGTAATAAAAAATTTTATTCAAATTATCAATTATTGTAATCAAAATCTTTTTAGTTAAAAAATATAAAAAATCATTAAAAAAAGCTTTTATTAATAAAATCATTTAATAATTTAAACTTATTTATTGATGAAATAATCATAATTTTATTATACTTTATTGTTTTTATTAAAAATATTATTTCTACAATAAAAACAATAAATAAGTTTACTAAAAAGAAAATTCAAAAATTTTTATTTATGAATTATGATTCAATTAGCAAAAATATAATTACATCAATTGTACCATTTATTGAACTATTTGATCATTTTATGTTTGTAGGTATTATCAGTTTAAATAGAATTTCATCCCAATTTACATTAAACCTCTTATCTTTAATTGCTTTTCAATACATTCTTGGTTATAAAATCATTGTTTATTTATTGTTAAAGAGAGATATAAGCACAATAGAACTTTTACCAGAAATACATGAAAGAAAAGAAGTAAATTTAGATCATATAAATCAATATGTCATGATAGATGCAAGGGAATCATTTCCTTTAAAATGTAATAAATGTAAAAGACCTAAACCACCACGTGCCCATCATTGTTCAGAATGTAATAAGTGTTATTTAAAGTATGATCACCACTGTTACTATTTTAATAGCTGTATTGGTTTTCATAACTATAAAAACTTTATTCAATTCTTTGTAATTACAATCATACAATCTGCATTGGTTGTAGTTAACGGTATAAATAACATAATAATAGGAAGAAATCTATTTTTCATCATTCTTTCATATTTTTTATCAGTTATTTTTTCTATTTATTTCATTATATCAGTTATATTACTTATATTCAATCTAAACCTTATCAAAAACAATGAAACTGTTTTAGAATCACTAGCTTTAGATGCTTATATAACAGGATGTAATAACTACCACAGTGTATTTCAAGAAGGTAAAATAAAAGAATTTTCAGAGAGCAAAGATATAACTATTCTAAATCCATATAATTTAGGAACAAGAGAGAATTTCACACAAGTATTTGGAGACACCTTTCTACAATTTATATCACCGATATTTACTTCTAAAGACGATGGCAAGAAATTTAAAACAAATTGATAGAAAAGGGAATTTATTTTTAGAAAAAATGGAATTCCAAACAATTAGTAATAAAAGAAAAATTAAAGTTGATTTGTTTATAAAATATTGATATTGATAAATAAATAAAAAAGTATGAAAATGAGTATAAAAATTTAGTTATTTTTAATTTATTCTTAATTGATTTATTATTATTTTCCTAATCAAACATTATTTAACATTGAAAAATAAATATGACTGTAGTAACTCTGTTTCTACAAAGGATTCGTTTTTAAAAAAAATTTAATCATAAATTTGTTCTAAATTTTAACCCCAATATTCAATGAATAAATTAGTAAACAACAACACTATTAACAACACAACAGATACAAGTAAGATTAAGTCTTACTTCACACAATATGTCATCACGGGTCGTATCCCTAGGGTAAAACACGGCAATGACCCTATCAATTTATGAAAAACAACTGTAATGAATCATACGATGATAAAAAGTCAAAACCAAATAACATTCAAATAAACAATGATAAAAAGAAGTTTGATGGGGATGAAAAAACTAACAGTGAGAAGCATGTTATAAGAAAAAGATTGGTGATGAACGCATTGTTGGGACTAATGAAAATTAAATATCCTGATTGGGATAATGAAGACACAAAGATAAGAGCACATAAAACAACTTTTCAAAAGAATGTCCTTTTGGATGTTTTTAAAATTACTAAATTTCCTGCTAGAGAAACCAGAGAAGATTTAGCTATTTTACTTAAACAAACTACACGAGGCATACAATTATGGTTTCAAAATCAAAGAAATAAAACAGTTGAAGATAAAAATGAATTGAGATTTGAAAAAGAAGGTAAAAAAACACTCACTACAACAGAATTACTTTATATATTTGAGGGAAACCTAACTGGCATATACAAAAAGATATGGTTCAATCTAACTGGTAACTTTCTTAAAAAATAATCTTATAACTCTAATAAACTTTCTACTAAATTATTCTTTCTTATGTTCTTATTATTTAATTCTATTAAAAAATCTTTACTTTCCTTATTAAGATATTTTTCAATTTTTAATATAAAGTTGCTAAAATCAATATTCTCTGTGTAGTAAACACAGCATATTCTCACATCATCTTTGCCTAATTTAGTTAAAAGTATCTTTATTAGTACTTTGATGTTAATATTTACGATCTTATCATTAAGTCTAAAATCTTTATCTAAAACATACTCAATTAACTCAATAAATAATAAAATACTGTTGCTTAGATTATTTAAAATATACAAAGTATAATTATAAAGTTTAGGATCACTTAACTCAGCATTCTTAACTAATAAATACCCAATTCTATTAAACCATTTAAATATTAAATTACCGCCTATTTCATATCTAAATGGACAAACATCATTCAAATTTTCATTGTGAATCTTTTTAGCAATTAAAAGATTAAACATTGATATGTTTTGACTTGTTAAAAATTTAAGTAGATTATTCACATTCTTTAATTCTTTTGAAAACCTTATTTCTTTATAATTAATAGTTAAATCAAAAACATCTTCCATAATAACTCTACTATAACTATCAGTATTATATCTATAAGTATCAATTAAACAAAGTAAAGGAAAGTTATTATCAAGTAAGTTACGTTTTTCAATAAATTTGATAATATTGCTGTAATCTCTGTTATCTTTAATATACTTATGTATCAATTCTATTACTAGATCATTATTGTCTATATAAGTAATTATATTAAAATCATAATTCAAAATTCTATAGTTTAAATGAAAACTAACTAACCTTATTAAATTTTTAATATCAAAATTAATATTAGTTTTGTAAAAAACATAATTCTTATAGAGAATGTTATTCAGTAATTCCTTAGTAAAATTATTATAATGACCACTATTACACTCATTCATTAAAACAATCAAATTAGTAATAAACAATTCATAGCTACTAAATATAATACTCTCATACTCGTTGTAAATGGTATAAAAAGATTGATTAATTATATTCTTACTATTCGTAAAAATATTTTTTAATAATCCTTTTGATTTACTATAAATTCTCTCCAACTGTTTTAAGAAATATTTAATTGATAAATATTCAATTTCTGATGTTTTAATATTAAAGTTAATTAGATAATACTTATAAGCTAATAAATATCTATATAAATTAACATTACTATCAATTAAGTAATCAAGATAGACATTATCTAATTTAAGAATATGACAAATATTAAAAAATTCTTTAGGATCTAATAAATAAAATATATCAAGATTAGTTGTAAATATCACTCTGTATAAACTTAAATGATAGTTAATATTATCTATTTCTTTATAGTTATTAATAGATTGGTATAAAATAAACTTATCATAACTATCAACCCATTTCTTATTAATTTTAATTTCATTTTTCTTTATACTTAGAACATAGTCATCCAACTCATTATCATTAACTATACTAGTGTCTTCTAAATTATTAATAATATTTTCTTTGTATTCATCAGGTGATAATTTCATCTCACCATTAGACTTGTGAATAACAGTATTAAGAAATATAAAGGAATGAACAATAAGATAATAATAATTAACAGTGTTATCTTTTGAGTTAGTAAAAAATTCAATAACATTATCAACATCCTTTTCAATTATGTTATTTTGTAATAAATATTCTGCTATAAATATATTAATTACTCGTTCTATAATTTGTGATTCACTGGCTAATTGAAAAGTTCCTAAAAACATTCTCAAAGCAGACAATGAATTCATATTTTTAAAATTAAATGTTTTAACCCATCTTTTTAAATAAGCTACATTCTTTAATTTACATAAATAATTACTTAACTTTTCCATACTAACATTCTTGTTTAATCTTACATATCTAATGTCCAATTCCTCTATAATACTACTATCTCCATTGTTAAATTTTAACACTTTTTCTTTCATTTCCTTTTTTAATTTAAGCTTATTTTTGATTTCAATAACAAATTTGTTATCAACTTCATTCAAATCTAAATCATTTAAATTATACTTATTTAAGCTTTTCTTTATAGAATTATAAAAAACGTGATACGTTTTCTCTAAATATTCTTTAGTAATTAAATCATCAAAAAATATTTCTAAATTGTACATATCAAATAATTTTGATATATCATTAATCGATGACCATCCGTTATACACCAACCACCTATCCAGTTTGTTTTTATTAGCTTTATTAATATTAAATATAAGTGATTTATACTCACTTAATTCATACCCCAATCTAATTAGTAGTAAATCATCCCTTTTATTTCCAATAAAACAATCTAATAAAAATTCTTTTGTAAAAGGAAACTTCTTATAAAGATTGTTGTTAATAAATGAATTATAAAACCTTTCTTCATTTAAAAATATCTTAAAATATTTGTAAAATTGAACGTTTTCTTTATGAATAATTTCATTCTCTGCTATTTCAATAAGATAAACAAATATTTGAGTTTGATCTTCATAGGTCATCTTATCAAGCAGTAAAACACATAAATCAAAATATAAAATCAATAAGTTAATGATATACCTATCATAATTAAATGATCTTATAGTAACTATCTTATCTATAGGTACATATTGATAGTATCTATGCATTATATTAAGGAAGTAAATTAAATCCTTATTATTCATCTTAGTAGTTAGCAGAGTAGCAAATATATCATTGATACTCATCTGATCAGCTCTTTCCAGTGTAATTTTAACCTCTTTATTACTACTTGTGCTTAATTTAATCAGCTCTGTTATAATTTCTTTCATAAAAAATCTTTAATAAAAAATAAAATGTTTTTTCAAATAATTTTTAGAATTTAATAGTTTTTTTTAATCAAATAAAAGTGTTATTTATTTACTGATAAGACTTTATGATTGTGTTACTCATCAATTTTCTATTAATATTAATATTTAAATAATTCTAAATGTTTGTATAAATATAAATTTGTTTATTTACTCTAATTAATCTTTGTTTATTATTTTTACAAATTAAAATTATTTTTAGCCCTTAAAAAGATGTCAGAACAAGAAAACAGAGCTATAGTAATAGATAATGGATCAGGTATGGTTAAGGCTGGATTTACAGGAGAAGATACACCCAGAGTAATATTCCCCTCGATAGTAGGTAAACCTAAACAAAAAGCTGTAATGGTTGGTATGGGACAGAAGGATATTTATGTGGGTGATGAAGCACAAGAAAAGAGAGGTATTTTAGAACTTAAACACCCAATTTCAGATGGAATAGTTCATGATTGGGATGATATGACTAAAATATGGTCACATTGTTTCTATAACGAATTAAGAGTTGATCCAAAAGATTCTTATGTGTTGTGTACTGAGGCACCATTAAATCCTTCTATTAATAGAATCAAAATGTGTCAGACAATGTTTGATGAATTTGAAGTAGGAGCATGGTATGTTCAGATTCAAGCTGTATTAAGTTTGTATGCATCGGGTAGAACTACAGGATGTGTTCTTGATTCAGGTGATGGTGTTACACATATTGTTCCTGTATATGAAGGATATTCATTACCTAAGGCCATTAGAAGATTGAATTTAGCAGGAAGAGTGATAACTAAAAACCTTGAGACACTTCTTCACGAGGTTGGATTAGACTTTGTTACATCAGCTGAAAGTGAAATTGCTAGAGAAATCAAAGAGAAGATTTGTTATGTAGCAAAGAACTTTAATGAGGAATCTAAGAAGAATGATGATGTTGAGTATCAATTACCAGATGGATCTAAATTTAAGATTGGTTCTCAGAGGTTTAGAGCACCAGAAGTTCTTTTTACACCAAGGCTTAATGATAGTGAGCATGAAGGAATTCATCAGTGTCTTAATGGCGCAATACAGAACTGTCCAGTCGATGTTAAGAAAGATCAATATGGAGCAATTGTATTGTCAGGAGGTACAACATTATTGAGTGGATTCCCAGAAAGATTAGAGGATGAAATTGTCAAATTAGCACCATCAGGTACTAATGTACAGATAATAGCACCAAGTGAGAGAAAATACACTGTATGGATTGGAGGTTCTATTTTATCTTCTCTTAATACATTTAATGATTTATGGATAACAAGAGAAGAGTATAGAGATCATGGAGCAGCTATTGTTCATAGAAAAACATTTAGATAAATTTCTATGTTATTTTTTTTTATTTTTAAGGAATAAAATTTACTTTTTTTATACTTTTAGTTTTTAAATTTAAAATAAATTAAATGTTTTTTCTTTAAATTATTGAATTTGTTTTAAATTTAAACACACACGTTTATATAAAATAACTACTTTTATATTTTAATAAAAACTTTGTTTAAAATAAGATTTTAAAAATATACTTTATTCAAAAAAATGAAATTTTTATTTAAATTTATATAAAAAACTAATTCAAGTGTTACTTAAGATGATTAATATTAAATTATTTTAAAAAACAAAGTAAAGTTAATAAAATTAATAATGAATCCTTCATTTATATTATTAAAAAAATTGTGTTTAAATCAATTATACAATCAAACACAAAATTTTGATATTAAAACAATATCTTTATAATACTTATTTGAAATAAATATTTACAAAAGAATTGTAATATAAAAATTATAATAATAAGTTTTATTAATATTGTTTTTATAGAAAAAAATATCAAAATGTTTCTACTCAAAAACTTTTAAAACATTGAAATAAATTAATTCAAAAATAATCTATTCTACTCATATAGTTGTAATTTATGTTAAACTTTTTGTAATTATGAACAATCTTATTAATTTATATCTTTGTTTATGGTAAAATCTTTTAGTGAATTACTTTTAAACTAAAATTTATTAGTTATCTAATGACTTCAAATATTGATTGTAATAAACTCTTTTTTTATGACGTAAGAAAAGATTTTACAAAATTTTAGAAAAAAAACTTAATTGATTTAAAAATATTGTTTTAATTTTATCTAAAATAAAATTATTGTATTTTTCAGTATTCGTTTATTAAATCTCTAATGTGTTGTTATTAAAAATTAAATAGTTTATTTATAGATTTTACTTAAATAAATTAATAAAAAGTTATTCTCATTCAATAACTAAATAATTGACTTTAAATAAGTTTATCAAATTTTTTATTAAAAATTTTGATGGAAATAAATGAAGAAGAGATTAATAAAGAATCAATTAACGAGTGGCCAATACCACCAATAATAAATAATAAAAAAGAACCTTTAATAAATAAAGATAAAATTAAGATATTTGGAACAGATTACAAAATAATCAATAATAGACCGTTTATTGATGTAGAAACAGAAGAGTTAGATAAAAATAAACTAAAAACATTAATAAATAAATCAATAGATTCATTTAAAAAGTTCATCACCTCATTTAATCCAGATGAAATGAATAAAATAATAACAATACACACAGAAATAAACGAGATAATAAATAAGGCTAAATTAGTATTAAATGATGACATATTAATAAACGGTAAAGTGATATTAAAAAACTATAAGAAAGAAATAATAGAAAAGATAAAAGAGTTGATAAATAAATAATGTTTTTAATTTACTAATAAAAGTAATTAATTAAAGAATTAATAAAAGTAAAGTAATTTAATAGAAAATTTATTAAAAAATTAATAAAAATATAAAGGATTACTGATGAATGTTTGTTATTGTTTATGATCTTTGACATTGTTTGTTTATTTATTTACAATAAAAATTGCCTCCAAAATATCCTTATGTTTAAGCCAATACCAAACACAGGATACAATAGTGGAGAATATGGGAATCAAAGATACGATACAAATATGGGAGAGAATAGCAGTGCAAGAAGACCCAATGCATCATATGCAGAGCTTATAACAATGGCCATAGAAAGTTCACCTGAGCAGATGCTTACCCTTAAGGAAATATACAACTGGATCTCTTCACACTTCTCATTCTTCAATGCCAAAAAGATGGGATGGCAGAATTCTATAAGACACAATCTATCTCTCAACAGATGTTTTTATAAGGTTCCTAGGGCAGAGGGAGTCAGGGGCAAGGGTTCATATTGGAAAATTAATTATGAGTTCCAGAACGTAAGAATGGGATATAGAATAAAAAAGTATAATTTTATTCCAAATCAAAGACATCAAGATCAAACTAATTATGAATTTTCACATCTCTTGAACGATAACAGAATTGTAGGTGATAACATAGGTGTAAGCGAGATACCATATAAGCGTGCTGTATTTGATGGAAACCTTAATAACAAGAACACTTATTGTTACACTCAACAACAGCATATCAATGATGAACAAAACATCGATGAAGACGACAAGAGTAAACTTGATAGAATCTTTTCATTTAAATAAATGGATTTCAGAATTTGTTTTGTTTTAGAAAGAGAAATAAAAATAATCTTAAAGTCATTTATTATGAACTGGTTGAGTATCATTTTAATAAAAAGATATGTCAAAGGGTTTAATAATTGTCAATGTGAAAATAAACCATTAAATTATATCAAAAATTATAAAATTGAAGATCAATGTTTTAAAAAATGTAATACTTTTTTAAAGTTAAAAATTAAAAACGTTAAACCACCATCATATTCTGAGAATATAAAAGAAAATGAATTAACTGAAAATGAAAAAGAAAATGAGTTAACTGAAAATGATTTAAATCAAAATAACTGTAATACACCTTATAATAATTATGATCAAAATAACTGTAATACACCTTATAATAATTTTAATAATAATTACAACACTCCTTTTAATAATAACATTCCTTATAATTTTAATAATAATTACATTCCTTATAATTTTAATAATAATAACATTCCATATAATAACTGTTATGGTTTTTATAATGAATTTCAAAATATTAATTGTATAAATTTATTAAAAAGTAATTTATTAGATGAAATATTAAATGAAAGTAGTATATCAGATGATTCAGAAAATAATAATTCAAATAAAGTGAATGAAGACAGTGAATTTGATTATAAAAGTGGTGATAAAACAGACAATAATTTAATAGAAAAAATGGTTCTAAAAGAAAGTATAAACATTGAAGACAGTTTTACCTTACCTGATCCTATTCAGTTGATAAATAACACAGAAAGAGCCAAATCAGTTTATTTAACAAGTAGAGATTTTTTTGAAGAACAATATCAAACTGTTAAAATATACCTTAAAAGATCTGTAACGATGACTAATGAATTAGAAAAAAGTATAAAAAATATGAAGGATTCTATTGAAAAAACTAAAAACTATATTGAAAATGATCATACTCATCATATGAAAAATTTTTATAAAAAGAAGATTCAAAAATTAAAAAAGGAAATTATTTTAAAACAAAGGAAATTAAAAGAAATAAGAAAATGGCAAAAAGCCATCAAAAACGGAATTAACACCCACTTTATTTAAACTTGAAAGTTAAGATTTTTTAATAAACTCTTGTAAGGTATTTAACAAAAATCTATTTTCTTCTTCATTTACTTCTATTGTATCATTTGACTCGAATATTCTACCTTTCAAAAAGTCATATCTTTTACTTTTTTCAGATAAATCTAGTGCTTTAGATAAGTTGTATAACATTGTTATTATAGCTTTATTCTCAAGTAATTCTAATGTAGGTGCTCTATAAACATAACCTAGTATACTAAAATATACTGTTAGATTATTACTAACTATCTTGTTGTTAATAGAGACATTTTCCTTCTTAATAATAATAAACAAAGTATTTTCAGAATTGGATTCAATTACCTCATAAAATATTCCCTTAGTTTGATTCATAAACTTATCAATGTTAATTTGAGCAAATCTTGACTGCATCTTAAATATTTGATTAAGTGAAAATTCATCATAGAACGGTGAGTATGAAAAGTATTCTAAAATATTCTCTTTAGTTAATGGGTTTGTATTTATAAATTCTGGACAATAAAATACTTGATTGAATTCTGAATCTTTCATTTAATAAAAAAATTTAATAAAAATTTATAAATCATGAGTTTATTAACAAAAAATAATAGTATTTCATCAAAGTATGGATCTAATGTATTAGATCACTTTAACAATCCTAGAAATGTTGGATCAATTAAAGAGGGAGAAAATGTTGGTACTGGTATAGTTGGAGCACCAGCATGTGGAGATGTTTTAAAGTTACAAATTAAAGTAGCAAAAGATGGAATTATAGAAGATGCTAAATTCAAAGCCTTTGGATGTGGTAGTGCTATTGCAAGTAGTTCACTTGCCGCTGAGTGGATTAAAGGGAGATCACTTAATGACTCTTTAAAAATTTCTAACAAAGATATTGCAAAAGAACTTTCCTTACCCCCTGTAAAATTACACTGTTCTATGTTGGCTGAAGATGCTATTAAAAGTGCTATAAATGATTTTAAAAATAAACAAAAGATCAAGAAATAAATTTAATTAAACTTACCCACTTGATAATCATCTGTTTGTATATTTTCTAGGGAGCTTCCAAAAAGATTTCTATTTTTAATAATCTTAACATCTCTATTTTCTTTATTATGAAAGTTTTGTTTAGCTTTACTCACTTTCAAAGAGTTATTCTTTAATTCTGGTTTTATACTTAAATTTATATCAAATAAAGATGGTGTTTTATCATATTTTGTGTTAAAATTAGATTTCATTAGTTTTATTAAATTAATTAAAAATTTTATAAAATTATTTATTATTTTTATTATGGGAAATTCAACATCAACTATTAATGAAACATATCTTTATGTAGTTAAACAAGTTAATAAAGATTTACCTTTATGTCCATTCATTCACTGTATTGGTCAGAATAGTTTTATTTTAGGTAAACCAGAGAATAAGATTGAGTTGGCCAAGATAAAAACTTTTCTATCTGAACATGACTTGGATTTAGAGATTTTAGATGTTAGGAATGATAAGAAGAGTCGTTTACAACTGAAAAGAGAAGAAATATTTAAAAATAATAATAAACTAGATATGAGTGTCTTAATGATCAATGATCATGATTTACAATATTTACCTCCCTGTATTAGAGTTTGTAGTACAACTAATGAGTTATTCTTACCAAATGATCAGTTTTTGGGATTTGAGAATATTAGTAATACTGGATTTGATAAACAACTGACAAGTGTAAAAGATAAGGTGTTGATAATATTAAGAGAGAATGTTGTTAAGAGATTTGAAATAAACACTGATAAATTGGACTGTGAAATTGGAATAGGTAAGCTTTATAAGTGTCATGGAAATGAAGTGTTTATTGAAGGTTATAACGGTAAGATAAAATTAATTGATGTTAAAGAAAATAGTGACAAAGAAATAAAAGAAGATATTTTGATGGATGATAATTATATTAAAGAACAAAATATTAATTCAAAAGATTTAACAAAGATTGGGTTTGAAAACATTGTAAAAGAAACAGAAGAGTTAGTTAAAGGAACTTATGAATCACCATCAGAAGAACCTGCTATGTTAATTGGAGATAAGTTTGTATGTAAAAATTCAATTAATGAAGATGGTAGAATGAAAGAAGAAGAATTTAAATTAAGAAAGAAATTAGATGAGGTTAATATTCGTGATAAAAATGATCAAAATAAAAGTGATAAAAAAGAATTTAACAATAATCAGTTTATTAAAAATAATGAATTAAATAATAATCAGTTTAATAATAGTGAATTTAATAATAATGAGTTAAACAATAATCAATTTAATAATAATGAGTTAAACAATAATCAATTAAATAATAATGAACCTTATTATTATACAAATCAATTTAATACAAATCAACTTAATAATGAATCAAATACTCAATTAGATAGCAATATTTATGATAATCAATTTAATAATG